AGGCAGGACTTTGGGCAGTGCATCTGAACATAGGAGAGGGAAAAAAATCCTTACTGCCTTTTTTAATAATTTATTTTTTTTGATGTTGTTCTTTTGTGATGGACAAGAAAAATCTGTAAAGCTGAGGTATAACATGTCTTGACAATTGGATATAAAATGCAGGAGGCTCAAAATACGACTTGAAAATGTGTTGTGAATCTACTTCCAGACCTGGTCACGCTGTACAGATGCCAGCACACTGGGAGTTGCCTGCGTGCTTGCTCGTTGGCTGGGGTGTAGCCAATGTATCTCCTCATGCATCTTGCAGGAGCAGTGCCATTCTGCACTGCATGAAGGTAGTTACAGCCAAAGGAGTTCTGTAAATGGAGGGATGCAACGCTGGGGTTATTTAAAGACAGAGCCCTTTGCCATGCAGTCTGATCCAGATTTGTGGTAATGGGTAGGGAGAAGAAAGGCCGTTGGAAAGGCATGAATTCAGACATTCATACGCAGATGGGGTGATCTGCTATGGCAGGCATTGTGACAGGAACTGGCAGGTGTAGCCAAAATTCTGTACTGGGGATGGCACCATTGCATCACTGTCCCAGTTTCCTGCAGAAGACAGCCAGTCCTCTCTTCAGCATGCAAAATTTGTCTTTTCTTCCTGCAGACCATGCTGGGGACCTGAAATTGATAAATCAGTGTTGATCTGATCAATTCCCCTCTGAGTAATTGTTTGCCCCTTGAGATCCTGACAGAAGCCTTCCTTCAGGCAAGGCTATCATCTGTAGCAGTATCTTGCATCTTCCTTCCATCCCTAACCTACATCCTGGCATCAGGGAGCTGTGTGCTTCAAGCTGATGCAAGCAGCATTTCTGTCAAATTGAGGCACAGGATCCTTGCATGGTTTGAGGTGCTGTAAAGGCAGGGTGGCAGAGGAGCTCTGAATGAGGTGGAGAGAGCAGGCTGGATACACAGGATCCTTGCATGGTTTGAGATGCTGTAGTCTAAAGGCAGGGTGGCAGAGGAGCTCTGAATGAGGTGGAGAGAGCAGGCTGGATGGCAAGTACCTGTGCCAAGGCAGGGCTGAGAATGCAGGCTGGGCGTGGTACGGCACTACCTCCTTGTCTCTGGGCAGCTAATGCTGTTGTGATGGAGAACTGGTCAGCCAGCATGCCTGGGTATGTGGCAGGATTCTTGCCTTGGATGGGGAGAGTCTAGCTTGGCTGTTTCCATCACAGCAAAGTTAAATTGAGAAACCTACTAGTTCCTTTGCATTGAGTTTCGTGTGGTGGTAAACATTGACTGGCCTGTGGCAGAGCTGCCTTTTTGCTAAACCCATTCAAACCTGTGTAAACCATGGAAACAACTTGATATGAACTCTCTGAGTATGTTTTGGTGGGGGTTTTTTTGTGGGTTTTTTTTTTTTTTTTTTTTGGGGGGGGTTTTTTTTTTTTTTTTTCTTTTTTTTTTTTAAACACTGAAAGAATTTTTCAACTTTGGATGGATTGTAAGGCAAAGAAGCCCTGCCTTATGATCAGCTATATTTGGCCTCCAGTATAGCAAGCCAAAGAAATGTGCTCAATGATTATTTTGGTACTTGGGCATGTAATCGGCATATTCTGTGCTATGTGCTTTTTGTTCAGTCCATGATGATTTTGATGTCATGCCATGTTAAGAATGGTTATCTTTGGTTAGTTCTTCTTGATTTGTCTCCTGATACAAGAATCACAGCAAACCTGAAAATAAACTAGCCCTCTGTGTATAAGCATTTTTAAAATGTCTAAATTTAAATAAAGACTTGATATGCATACTCTTTGAAGAAGAGTGGTTGGACTTGGCAATTGCAAATTACCAAAGTATTAGGGGACGCTGTCTTTGAAAAACAACATTAAACTGTTTTATAGTAGCAAATAAATTTGATTTTATTATATAGCCTTTAATTATGTCATTGCTCTCATTCTATCAAAAAAGCAATGATAGAAGCAGAATATATTCAGCTGAATGGAGGAGAGAAAAGAGACATATAATTTGGAAAGGGATGTTGTTCAAAGATGGATAGAAACCACGCTTGTAAGGTATTTTCTTTATTATTTGGTGGCTCACATGGCTAAGTGGTTGAAAAATTGTTCAATATCAATTATGCCTATTACATAAGAGTACCACACCCAGTATAAGCAGTTTTCATGAATAAACAGTGACTCAGAAATCACAGACATAGTTTGAAGATGTAATATCTTAGGGTGGGATTCACTTTGTCTACTTAGGTTCTTGCAGGGCAGAACTCTGAGGCAGTCTGTGTCTTTGCATTTTTCTAATGATACCTGTTTCCCGGGTAGACTATCAGGGTTACAGCTGGGCTTGAAGCTCTGCACTGGGTATAAGCCAGGTGAAAGTCCATAATGAGAAACGTCCTCTGTCTCTGTACAAAAACAGATCTTAAAATGGAGCACTTATTTTTGTGACATCAACAAATTCAAGTTGTTGTGCAACTTGGAAAATGTTTTGGTTTCAAGCACCAGTGTTAAATTGTTCTTTGAGAATACCTTCTAATTACTTAATTATTAGTTATCCTTTGAAAGTCAGTATTAATGAAACCTAACTTGGCAGAACCAATGCTTTTATTTTAATATCAACAAACCACATAGTTGTCAAAATCAGTGGGTCACAAGATCAGTCTGACAGTTCCGTCCTGTATAGCAAATCAGTGTTGATTGCTGCAGCAGCTGCACAAATAGCTTAGTCAAAATTCTTCCAGTGTAATGTCTTCTGATGTAATTTTAAGAGGTCTGCAAGTCTAATAGAGGCATTTACAGCCTTGTACTCAAATTGGACCCTTGCTGTTCAAGGAAACAGGATTATGCATTTCACTGTGAAGGTTGAGTGTGGGTTCAAAAGACATTTAGAAGGCATTTAGAAGAATTGCAGGCTTGGGATAGGCTCAGCTCTTGTTGAAGGGAACACCTTGTCATCTATTGCATGCCTGACTTGCCCGTGAACTCTTTATAAACACCAACATTTTGACTGTGTAGTCCTGTAGATGTCAGTGGCAACTTCACAATAAGAACAACTTTAGAATTCTTAGGAATTTATTGGAGTTTGAAACATAGCTGTAAAGCTAGACTCCAGACCTACAGCCTTTCTTACAGTACAGTACTAATGTATGACCTGCAAATGTCAAATTTTTAACTTGCAGAATGGAGGGCATAATTTTAAACTAGGTATTCCTATTCCTCATATTCCTATAACCTAGGGAACATAAATATTTATTTTTAAAGTTTGCATGCTGTTATGTTACATTGGCTAGCTTCCTCAAAATCATTATCACTAAATATACAGGTTTGGAAACAAAATATTATGCAATATATGAGATAAGGGTAGTTTTCAGATTCTGTGTTTTTAAGTGATTATTGACAATTATATTTCTAAGATGCAGCTTCTAGTTTTCTGTAGGAACAGACTGTTGTTATATGAATATTGTATAAAGTGCAATTCTCCTGGGGAATCATGATCATCCTTTCTTTCCCTGAATTTTGAATTTTTTCTTATCTTGAGTTGGTGTGCCATCATTCATTTTTTGTCACTATCTGTTACATTTTAGGAAAAAACCTTAAACACAAAAGATGTTTGTAATACCTAATTTTCTTCTCAACAGGAGGATTGAACTTTTAGCATTTGAATGAAAAGAAAACCTATGTTAAAGCTAATTACTTAATTTGTAGGATTTCTCGTGTTAGTGTGCATTCCACTTGAAATTAAATAAAATGATAGGGTGATAATGTAATAATATTACATATCCTAAAAGAGCTTCATCCTGTCCTTTGCTCTTTTTACCAAGCAAAACTCATTTTTTTTCAGTGCTAATTTCCCTACTTACTGAGGTAACCAGTAGCTTTGCTCTGGATGCATGCAGGTTCCACAGCACTTAAAACTGTGTGCCTGAACTCCTGCACAGGGTTGAGGATGGTCAGGGTCCCCAGAGGGATGTTCATAGTTAGCTGGTGGCTGAACATGGTGACATCTAAGCTGAAATAAGTACAATTCCTAGTATTTGATTTCCATTCCCAGCTGGCATGAAACCTCTCTTTTGGACTCATGGCAGAATTGTATAAAAGTCCTTTTTTGACTTGTATGTGGGTTATTCTTCTGGGTGTTTGGAAGAAATCTGCCAAATTTGGTCCCTCCAGGGAATGTAGGCACAGGGGGGATCTAGTAGTGGCTCCAAGTGAGTGTAGGTTTGAGCAAATACTTTGTTTTTGGGGGGTTTGGGGTATTTTTTGAAAACTACTTTGCTGAAAACTTGTAGTCAATTATTTTAGTTTTGGGTATCTTAAGTCCTTTATCAGACATTGTTCTTGTTCACTGCTTTTTCACTCTGAATATACAAATGAGTCCCATTAGTATAGTCCTGCCATTTGCCAAGGAATGACAATTGATGAGCACGTGGTAATGCAGACTTGGAGTGGTTCTTTAGTCACACTGCCTTAGGTGCAAGTGGCATGAAAAAAACCAGCTGTTAAAATACTCTGTGCTAGATATCATGGGTATACATGCTGTAACATGAAGTAGGAGATAAGACTTTCTATCTCTTTTGCATTTCTCTTTGAAATTTCTTATATGCTTTTCAGTGTGACTGGTACTGGTTTGGAAAATAATCGCTGTAACATGAAGTAGGAGATAAAAGACTATCTCTTTTCCATTTCTGTTTGAAATTTCTTATATGCTTTTCAGTGTGACTGGTACTGCTTTGGAAAATAATAAGTATTCCCACAGATTTTAGCTGAAGATTGACTTACACTAGAGGAAACTATTTTATGATGTTGGATCTGCCTTCTTTTGAGGCGTAAAGAACTGTCTTTTAAATACTTGCTTCTTTGAAATTAATGTAAGAAAATAATAGTATGAACTAATTGTCAAATCAGGGTTCGTTTGCTTGTTTGTTTTTAACTACTACTAAGATTCTCTTGCTAGTCCTGATTTTGTCTGTGTGTCCAATTAACTCTCAGCTCTTATTCTTATAGGCAGTTACCAGGCAAAGCTTTGGAACTGGAGACTTTAGAGCAGCTCTAGAAAATGGAGTCCTGTTGTGCGAGTGAGTATTGACTTACCTAAATAACAACCCCTCAGCTGGCCTCTTTCCTTCCTGGCCTCTGATTTTTTTATTTTTTTTTTAAGCACCAAAAGTATTTTCTAGTAAATAATTTAAGTTTTTTTAATACTTGTTGTTTGTCATGGGAAGTAAAGCAGCTTTTGGCAGACTCTTTCCAGATCCACATGTTTTGTGTGTTGTCCCACACACTTCTTTTTGTGATACTGAGAGGATCCTGCTGTTGTTGACTGATTATATTGGTTTTGGTTATAATGCCCAGGATAACCCTGGGCTTTCTCTTCAGCTTCTGCAAGGTGGTGTGGCTGTGACTGGGATCAAAGCACACTGTTACCCCAATACCCACTGCTGTTGTTTGGGTTTAGATTTCTGTCCTCCATCCCCTGCCTTTTAGTGTTGAATTTTTGAATCCTGAAACTGCCTATTCCTGTCACAAAACTTTACACTCAGCTTGTTTTGGAGCACTTTCTGTAAGAAGCTTCCTCATGCTTATATATTGTAGGCTTGGCAGTGATGGGGCTTGCCTGGTTTCGTTGCTAGACTGAGTCAGAGGTATAAAATGTCCACTCAACAGGTCTCATCCACATATCTCTAATTGGCTTGGTACTTACTGGAACAGGTTTCCAGGACTGGAAGTGGTGCTAATCCCTTAGTATTTTAAGGAACAGCAGTTGTAAATGTCATTAGAACACCAGTGCAAGAGAAATCTCATTAGAGAGCTACCCAGGATGCTAAAAACAAAAACCCAAAACTACAAAACTTAGAGCCACTCTAAAATCAGTTCAGCAGAGTTAATTTTCAGAAAATATTTGTGCAAGTTCAGTTCTTTCAACTTCTTTTCCTATACATATTTTTTTCCTTTTGGGAATATTGCCATGTTTTCTGTCCTTGCCTTTATTTTGCTTTGCACTCTTTGCCTTCCAGTCTTCTCTTGCTAGATGCTTCTGAAGTTATCTGTGATATTGGGCATTAATTAATTTTCAATAATATTGTAGAGCTGGATGCTTTATTTTCATTACTTATATGAAATATTTACTTATATAAGTAAATGTTATATTTACCACATTCACACTCTTTAACATTTACTTATATAAATAAGTGTTAAAGAGTGTGAATGTGGTAAATAAAAATAGTTTCTACTTTTAATAAGAAAGTATATGTTTAGTGGGATGTATATATTGTATTCAGATGTTTAAGATACATACTAATCTTTTGATATCTTCATTGTTGACACGTAATTGGCAATAGAATGAGGATCCCTCTGCCAAATGCAAGTCAGTTAAATTTATCTGTAATTAATAATGCAAGGAAAACATCCTGTAATTTCTTCAGTGTCTTGGTTTCAAAAGACAGGTGGCTGGTAAGGAAGGCAGGAGCCTCGCTTGAAATGGAAAATGTAAACCCTCTCCCTCCAAATTATAATAATTTTGAAATTAAGGGGCTCTCAGGCAAAGATATGGGAGAAGAAATAACTGTTATTTATTAGGAAAAAATTAAAATGCAGTAATACAAAACAACACTGAGAGAATCAGAATATGACCTGACACCCTGTGGGTCAGGGTTTTGGTAGCAGTCCCATGAAATTGTGGCTGCAGTCCTCCTGCAGTGCCAGCTGTGGTTCTGTTGGAGCAAGAATCCTGTAGAAGGCTGGAGTTTTCCTCTGAAGGTCCAGTGGTGGTGTTGATGGGCCTGGCCTTCCTCTGGGAATCCAATGGGAAAAGGCAGTTTCTGTTGTTCCAAATCTCAGACTATATCCAGGTAGGAAGGCTTGGCTCCTACCCCTTGGTGGAGATCTGACAATGGGATGATGTAATTTTATCAGTGAGACTCAATGGCCCATTAACAGAAGATATTTCCCAGAGGGAGAACTGGTTGCAGAAGAGATAAAGAAAACTGCCCCACCTGGTTTTAACAGGTGGCAAAAGAATACACACTGCCAGCCACATCTTGCATTGCAACCTAAAACATTCTAGTGAGCAGCTTGCCTTAGGAGGCTTGCAACTTTCTTTAAAGCAAAAGATGCCTTATTATGTTGTACTAAAACAGCTTTTCTCTTGTCTTAATTTTAAATCTGACATACCTGAAGTCCAAGGAGGAGTGATTTTCATAGAAGTTCTGTGGAAGCAGGAAAGAGCAGATGGCAAAGATTTTCACTGTCCAGTTTTCACCAACGACAATATAGTGTAACATCTCAAATAATTGAGACAATCTAGAAATTAGATTGTCCATTTTCTTGGTTCAGTTGTGGCATGGCTAATTTAGGTGGATATATTATCTCTGTAGATTGTAGAGCTGACTTAAACCATAGCAGATAAGACCTCTACTTGCACCATATATTCCTATAGCATACAGTGAGTTTGTCCTGCTCAATGACTAAGTGCACACGTTGGCTGAGTGGTCAGTAGTTGACAAAATAAAGCTTCTTACATTCTGCCAATTCTGGTGTGCATACACTAGAGAAAGAAATTCACTGAAGTTTTTCTGATCACATGCTGCTTCATGTTCTTGAGTAAAATAAATCAAAAATTATGCATTTGGAAGATTTAAAAATTAAAAAAAAAAGGGAGAAATGCAAGCTTTTTTTTTGTTCCACCTCAACAGATCATTTGTTTGGGTGGGAAAAGTAATCAAATGTGTCTTGTTTGCTAAATAACTTGGTGTTATTGGAAAATCTCAGGATCTGCAGGTTTGGGGTTTTTTCTCGGCAGGAGTTTAGAAATGTATCCTTCATTCCAGTGTAAAGGGGTAAACTGTTCTTTGTGTTTATTTCCCAAATATATTTTCTGCTTGAGCAAAATACGCTTTTCCCCCCACACAGTTTTAAACTCCAGGCCTTGTCTCTGCACTGGTGTGGGTAGATCACAAAGCCTTGCTGATGTTCTGTGTGGGGTGAAGGGTCTGGCCAGAGAAGCAGCAAAAATAAGTGAGAGCAAGTAAAAAAATCCTTGAAGGTATAGAGGCAGATGAAGTCTGCAGGGTGTCCTGAGGTCCCTGTTCTCTACTGACCCTCTGGTCCAGTGTGTAGTTTGGTGAACCGCAATATTTCACTAGCTCATGATTGAAAACCTGGGTATAGACTTGCAAGGAATCCTGTGCCTCATCTTCACTGCAGGATAAGGTATGCATTTAGGCTTATGTATTCAATAGGGATGTGTTAGTCTGTCCTTTCTTCTCAGCTTAATTATGAATTTTATGTGAAGAGTGATATCAAGTATAGTCTCTTCTGACTGAGATGGAAAATGTCTTGTGCATGTAAATTATGTGTGCCAAAAATGACTGCTGCATGCAGCATAGTGGACTTGGTAGCATTATGAAAACCAAGTTTATTTCTCACTCTTGCAGGAATAGTAGTGCTATTACACTGAACTCTGAAAATCAGTATTCTGGTGCATTTTTGACGTCTGCTCAGAACCTTTATGAGACAAAAAGCTATAAATAGGAAATTTTAGTCCAATTAACATCACCACCCTTGTAGTAGAAACACAGATCCTTTTCTGCCCACGCCCCCTCAGGCATTTTCTTTTCTTTCTCGCTTTGCTGTTTCCAGAAACATCTTTTTGTGTGACTTTTTTCATTTTTGCTCCTACAATCTGTTCTTGCTTGTCACTTCTTGGGAGTGTTAATACATTCAGCTCAAACTCCTTCAACTCATGTTACATTAGGACCATATGAAAAGTATTTCTTAATAAGCATTGATGCTCATGCTTAAGTACAGTGAATTATTTAACAGAAAATCGTATAACTTTTTTTTAGTTTGATTAACAAGATCAAACCTGGCATCGTTAAGAAGATCAATCGTCTGCCAACTCCAATAGCTGGCTTGGTAAGTAATGGCATTAAATCTAATATCTGGTGTATGAACCAAGAAGTCTTTGTTTTTAAAGAATTTTCAAAGTTTTAGCTCCATTTTATTTTTTTGTTCAAAATTGTACCATTTCTATGGTATCTTAGACCACAAAGGATAATTAATCTGTCATCTGGATCTGTAACTTCAGTCATCCTGTCACTGCATCAAGCTTCATCATCCCCAGCCAGATGTATCAAGCACTGGCTCCTGTGTACAAACCTCTGTGGCATTACTTGTCTCTGTTTAAAGGCCACCATCCTTAGGCTTAACATTTAGAAGCCACTTCTGATATCCCTTTCTTAGGGAATGGGCAAAGTAGGAAATGTTCTGTAGAGTTAAAGTATTTTTAGAACCTGTTTGACTCTACCCACAGCAGAGCTTCAGTTGCATTAAAATAACTGTGATGATGTAAAGATCTCTCTGCAGGATTCAGCTGAGGGATTTGCCAATGTTTTGGCTGTAAATCACATTGCTGGGGGTAGAGGTGGGAGATGTATGTCATAATTTTTACAGGAAATGTAAAAGATTTTCTGTATGCTGTTTGGCAAACTTGCTGCCCAGAGACTAGATTAAGTTTTGTAGCCATTTAGCATCAGAAATCCTCCTGTGGGCAAACAAGTTCAAAGAATTCCTTCTTCATCACTTTCTTCACTGTGACAACCTTGTTGGCTGTTCATGTCATTTAGGCTGTCAAGGCTATTTAGTCCTGTCACAAATGCCATTGGTCTCATATTAAAAGATCCAGGGTGAACAGGGACATATGCATGATTCGTGTGCCAAATGGAAGATCCCACCTTATGACAAACATGCAAGCTCAACATCAGGGGAATTACCTGGTTTCTTAGTAGGAGTAGAATGCAAAACTTCTCTAGATACTTTTATTTATATGTTTTAATGGGATGAGCCAACAAAACATTGCCTTTTGCTGGTCACCCATGCAGCTCGTTACAGAATAAGTGTCGTTAACTTGGCTGGAGGTCATACGATTAGGTTAAATTGCCAAAAGGTTTTGCATAAGCTGAGAATGTGCATTTCCACATCAAATGAATGTAGAAAGTATTAATTGCCTTTGTCCCAGACAAGCTCAGGTATTTAGGCTTGCAAATAAGACTGCTGCACATTCTTTTCCTGTGATGCATACAAAAAAAAATTCAAATGAAACCATGATAATTCTGGAGAGGATAGCACAGTTATTTGATCAGTGGTTTGTCTGTCTATGTGGCCTCTGAAGTAGCCATTAGATTCTAACCAGAAAACCATAAGCTAGATTTCATTTTTGTGGTGATTTAAGTGTTGTCTTAAATCATAACTGCAGGCACTCTCGTTTTTATATGCATTTTTTATTTCCAGATGTAAAAATGCAGAGTATTCATTTGGTGTGTAATTTATATTTTACTGGTAGTGTATTTCTGTTTTTGAAGTTGTTTCTAGTTCCTACAAGTCTTCAAAAATAAAAAGGTGGAAAGGCGAATGAATGTTTCTTGTAAATCTCACCCAGATTCTTGTTAAAACACAACTTAAAGGTAGCAATTAAGAGAGTTGATGTTTTGTGTTAACCCGTGGAAAAGGTTTTACATAAACACTCCAGTTTCTGAAGACAACAATTATGAAGATCATATTAAGATGGTGCTTATGGTGACAATGGTGGGAGACTGGTTTTTACACACTTGAGAGGAGCCTTCTCAGTTATGCCAGCTTTGAAGAGCCCAGGTTTCATCCCAGCATGTAGAACTCAAACTAAAAATTATGGGGATTTGCATTTATAAGTAAGCAGACATTGATACCTGAGAGGCTCAGGATAAAGTGGTTGAAAGATGGCTTTTAGCAATAGAAAAAGCTTACTAGGAAATTTGGTGGTAGGCTTGCTTGACATGTTCTGGAAATATTTTCATTGCTTGTAGATTGTTGCTTCTCCCACAAATTTGCTTCTAGCGTTTTCTGTGGCTTCATAAATGTTATATATACTTCTATGGCTCTCACTTCTGCTGTCTTCAATGCCTTTGAGTCTCACACTTATTGCTCCCTAGCAAGCTTTCATGAGATCTAGAAATCACTATTGGAAGGGGTGAATTTGTTTCTCATTTTTCTCTTTTTTTGCCTTTTTTTTTTTTTAATCCGATGAAAATTTTAATATTGAGAGATGGCAGGGTGTTATTCCTAAAACAAAAAGGGATCTGATCATGTTCTTTCTACAGCTTCTTCATGTTCCTTTAGACTCATATCCTGAAGTCCATTTCCAAAACATTTTATGTCTTTATCGCCTAATTAGCATTCATTTCTCTCCTGACTTTTCTGATTCAAAGGAAACAACCCCCCCCATGGTTTTGAGAGTTTTGTGGCAGACTGATTATCAGAAGGAAACAAATGCTTTGAAAGACATCTTGTTGCTCTTCCCCCTGCACGGCCCCCCCCCAGCTTTCCCTCCCCTTTGTTTTTCTTCCCCTCCAGAAATTCCTTGAATTTTGGTTTTGTTCCCTAGGGAGTTAATATACCTCATTTCCATATAAGTATGTTTAAGCATTGTGTTCACTTCAACTATTTGACAGGCTTTTTCAGCAGTACAGAAATATGGTGTTGAATAGATGCCTTTGGTTGAATCTCCAGAAAGGTTTTGTTATCTCACTTCTTTGAGTTCATGATTATTTTGAAAATAAACTGTTTCAGTAAAGTACCAAGTGAAGGTCTGTAGGAATAATGAAACATTCTGTTCTATATGGAATATTGTGTGCTAGAGTTTTTTTGCATTGAGTTAGAGTGAGGTGCTGCTTTTAATGAGGTCAATGCATTATTGATTTATGTCTTTTTTTCTTTTAGAACACCTTACTTATCATAAGATCTAATAGAGACTTTATGTTAGTAGGAACATTTTACACAGCTCAGAGTAAGCCTTTGCTTTTACCTTTAGTTTGATTATACTGCTGCCTAGTGATTTTTAGGTGTGGATTGCAGTGGTTTTACTCATGATGCAATGGAAAAATAAATACATGTGTTTTGAGGATTAAATACTGAAATGAAACTTGCTATTTGGTTAATGAAAAATGCTTAATTGGTACCAGGAAAGTTCAAAAAATTGATTAAATGTCTCCCCAGTTTGGCATGGTATGTGAAATCTGGGCTGCAGCTTGTGTGGGAGAGTTTGTAAGAACTCTTTGGGAAGAAGAGTTGGATCTGGCTATAACTTGTTATCCATAAAACAACTTTTTGCTTTAGCCTCACTGTTCCACTTCTCTCCTGAGGCATGTGTGTGAGATGTAGCCATTGTCTTAGCTCCATTTGCCCGTTCACTTCTGTTCCAGCTTGGAAAATGGAACTTCTGGGGGTAAGGCAAGTACCAGAGTGGTTGTAGGGAAGCTGTGGTCAGGAGCAGGTGACTGAAGAAATGACGCAGCTTTTATGATGCTTTCCTGGACAGTGAGGTGTGCCAGCTGCAGGGTGCGAAGTTCTAACTCCAGCAATAGTAGCATGAAAGTTGCCACTTGCAGCAGGTTGATTTTTAACAGCACATGGCAGATTTTGGAGCCAGTGATGTTCCCAGAGATATCCTAAAGGGAGTTAATTGGGAAGTAGCTGTTGGGTTTTTTTGCTTTAATTTTGACTATTTTTAAATGCCATTTAGGACCTTTGCACTAAAACAATTTCTGGAAAATTAAAATTTAATTTCTGATTATATTTCAGACTGTCTAAAATACACTGTTTGTATAAAGAGCAGTGCACATTTTTTTCCCAGTACAGCAGAGGAGCAAGCAAACTGGTAGAGAACAGCAGGTCCTGAAGCCCTCAGGTGTTTCTGGGGGGTAAGGGAAGGGTAACAGAAAGGTCACAGCATTGTGGAAGCTGAGATTTCATTATGTACAGTAGAAAAAGTGCAGACTGCACTTTCATACTATAAAGATCCACTTTTTTTGGTCCGTATTTGTGTGAAACAGAGATGGTGTTTAAAGAAAATTACTCAAATTGATAAATCTTGCTGGGTTCAGATCCTGCAAAATTATTTTAATTGCAGTTCTTGGATAGTGGGGTGGTAAAATGAATGCTTAACAAAAGTAAACCCAGAGGAAAACTTTTTTTCTCAAAAAATAGAGTTTTCAGCTTGAATCCCAGCATGTGAAGATGGTTTGAATATAATCACAAGGGGGAGGATTTTGTGGTTTAACATGTTTTCCAACAAGGCTTTGCTGGACAGTTTCAGAGGTGCATCTCTGGCAGCAGCACCATTGTTCCCCAGAAGCCTCCTGTTTTCAACTCAATTGGCTGAACACAGAGAATCATAAACTGGAATGAAACTCACAAGATGCCATGAGACAGTTGGAAGATGAATGAGTTATGTACAGTTTATGCAAGCTGAACATATCTGTCAGAATAACACATTGCTTGCTGCTCAGGAGGAATAAGTGTACACTCTTCAGCAAGGCAGAATTTCAGTGAAGGTACATTTCCACCTGAGACCAGGTGGTGTGAAGCAACTTCTGAGGCAGAAGCCAGTGTCTCCCTTGGAGAGGGGTAGCAAATGGAAATCTTGCTTATACCAATTTTTGCCTTGCAATATCCCAATTTGGTTTTCTAAGACCATCTATTTTTGCTTGCAGCTCCTGTGAAGTGGAAGTGCAATGCTTTGCACTGTGTTTGCGAGGCTTTTTCTCACATCTGAGACATGAGGGCTGTGATCATACAGCAGGGCAGAATAGAAAGCTATTGGGCTTTTCAGAGCTGTAAATGAAATGACATTAGCACTTTGATTTCAAGTTGGTCTGTGATTTCAAACAAGGCGAGATGTTGATAACTCTGTGTACAGTTTTCTGTGTGCATGCTGGATGAAAATGAGCACAAAATGTCATCTTCAGCTTTGGAAAAGAGATTTTTTTAGTGAATTTTCATTTCCTGCTCACACACACAAAAAAAGCTGCACATCTCTAGGCAGTCACAGGTTTGAAAATGTTTATCTGAAATACTGTAGAGTGGGATTTTTTTTTTTCTAG